TCAGAAAAGGCTCTTTCCAAGAATCAGCAAAAAGGAAATCAACCTAAAAATGAAAATGTGTTTTGAGAAAAAGTCATGAAAGTATGATTACAGGAGGGTATCAATTAAGTTCAAGGTGAGAGCTTCATTTTAAGCCTCTCATACTCCAAAGCAACGTATCATTCAAGAGCCCGTACGTACCACAAGTTCTTAGTGGCACATAAATAGCTAGGCACCCTCAACCTAAGTCACAGAAACACTGCTACCTATACTCTTCCCATATCCACAGCTAGCCATTACTTATTAAAGTTATTGCATAAATTTATACTCAAACTTTTTTCTTCCCATAGAATATGAAGATGTTTATATTTTAACTATGTAGTTAAAAGTCTTCCCAAATCAAAAGCTCAACACATTAATCAAGAAAGATTCCAGATTAATTCCAAGTTACCAAAATTTATCACATCCGATCTTCATTCTCTCACTAAGGTTGAACGCTAAACCATTGGGAATAAGATGCATTTAAAGAAACAATTTACAGAGTAATGCAAAACATTCATTTTCCTCTCCAAGGAACCTCACTCAGGCTGAGGTAGAGTTTCAACCTCTTTGAATTATCTTTTCACTGAAAATTAAGTAAAAAAAATATAATATTAAGACTGAAGGGATAATTTTATTTCAAATATGGTTGTTATACAATAAAACCTCATATTCAAAAAATAAGGCTGATTTTAATACATCTTATTCTCAAAACACTTATACCATTAAAAGTATATCAAAACTATGTGTCTTTTTTATATAGCAAAAAAAGTAATAATGACAGAAGAAAGGCAGGCAGGAACAATCCCCCCCAAGAGGAAACCACCCTTAAAAGGATTTTATAAGGAGCCCACCACCCTCTCCCACTGATAGGTAATGACAAACACCTGATTGGATGACAAGCGCATGGAGGGTTAGATTGAAACAGTCCACCAACAACCCCATAAAAGCCCCTAGATCGAGGTGCGCCTGGGTGGCTCAGTAGGTTAAGCATCTGCCTTTGGCTCAGGTCATGATCCCAGGGTCCTGGGATGGAGTTCCCCGTCGAATCCCGCATCGGGCTCCCTGCTTGAGCAGAGTCTGCTTCTCCCTCTATCCCTCCCCCCCGTTCGTGATCTCTCTCTCTCTCTCTCGCACGCTCAAAAAACAAAAAACCCCTACACATCTAAAAGCCAAATCGGCAACCCTCTTGGGTCCCCTTCCTCTTCCGGAGCTTTGTAGTATCGCTCAATAAACTCTGCTGCCCACCACCCTTCCTCTGGTCTACCTCTTCATTCTTCCAAGTGGCATGACCAAGAACCGCAGGCACCAAGAGAAGAAATCCTGTAACAGTGATACTTTTAGATATTAAATAGATTTTAAAGTTTAACTCACAAAAAGAAAGTAAATTAAACTAACTATATTTCAATTAAGAGTAGGGTTTAAAGTTTAAAAGTTTAGAAATTTCTGGAAAAGAGCAGTAACTACTGTACACTTAACTGTAGCACTCCATGTTGATGCTTTCCCCACCAAGCCCTACACTCCCAAGATGGAGCACTGCAGTATAGGAACAGCTACAACTCGGCTTTGGGTTGACTGCTCACTAGCATTGTGCTTCAACATCTAAAATAGAGATAATAATGCCTATAAAGTTGGCAGTCCTGGGGGCGCCTGGGTGGCTCAGTCAGTTAAGCATCCAACTCTTAATTTTGGCTGGGGTCATGATCGCTGGGTCCTGGGAATGAACCCCAGGAGGGCTCCACTTGGCGAGAGTCTGCCTGGGATTCTCTCTCCTCCCTCTCCCTCTGCCCCTCCCCCCCTTAAATTTATTTATTTAAGATAAATAAATCTTAAAAAAACAAAACAAAACAGAATTAGCAGTCCTGTCAATAAGAAGTACCCATATATTTAAGTATCCGTAATACATATTAAAAAGCTTTGTGATCTGCAAAGAACTACACCAATAGTCATATTTTAAACAAAAAGGGAAACTATCACTTTCAAATGTTTCTGATTTTAGCAATAATGGCTATCAGATTCTATGGAAGAACAGTGGGACACTGGTCCACTCACACACACACAGCCAGAAAAAGAAAAGATTTTTAAAAAAGATTTTATTATTTATTTGTCAGAGAGAGCACAAGCAGGGGGAGTGGCAGGCAGAGTTCTCGGAGAAGCAGGTTCTCTGCCCAGGAAGCCCAAGGCGGGACTTCATCCCAGCACCCTGGGATCATGACCTGAGCTGAAGGCAGATGCTCAACCGACTGAGCCACCCAGGCGTCCCAAGAAAAGGCATATATTTTAAAAATTAGACTCCCTCATAAACAAGTGCAGAGAGAGAATATTTTTAGCAAGTATTTAACCATACAAACCAAAAGACTACAGTTGTTTAACCGCATGTAAACTGCATCATCTGACTTCAGGTAGAACGTTTATTTTTGGTTATAGTTGGGAACCAGATACCCAATGTATATAAACACCAGCATATTTTTTAAACAACTGTCTTAATGCCTTTGTTCACTCAGTAATAATTCCCACTATACTTAGAAGGAAAAACACAAACAATATCCTTAACCAAAACTCATCACAGGAGTTTTTACTTCTTAAACTTTTAAACTAACATTGAACAAACAGCATTATCTGACGAGTAGCAGACTATTTGCCCACTTAGTCTTTAAACTCCACCGGAGCACAGACCTGTCTTTTTCTGTTATATCCCCAATACCGAGGCACCTACGTGGCATCAAATATATACTCAATAAATATGTGTGGAATGAATGAATGAGGGAGTGAGTGAACTAAAGCTTAAGTGTTTTAAGTTGCAACAGAACATTTTCACTTATACATCCATCACTCAGTACAAACTACCACAGTCTCAATTGTAATGACATAATAAACTGAAAAAGACACATACTAGGTATTTGAAAACACAACTCTTATTACTGGTGTGTAATACACAAAGTAAAAGATTCACAAAGCCAGTTTTTAAGTTGTATTTTTTCTCAAGAAATTTTGGTGTGTTCTTTCTGACATGAAAATATACACATATATCAGAAAAGCATGCTGCAATCTTGATAAACCAAACACTATCTTTAAAGTTCTGTTGCAATATGGAATAATTTAGGCAAAGTGAAGTTATTTCCAGAGTCCCACACAGAATATTTTAAAAATTCAAACTCCTTAATTAAAGGTGAAATAAAATGGAAAAAAAAGGTAGATCTTACTATTTAAAAATTTTTATACTGAATTTTAAAAAGGGGAAAATGTCAAGTTCAGACTAAATTAATTTCACTGAAATTATTTATGCAAGAAGGCGTCTAACATCCTTACATTTAATCTTTAAGCTAATAAGTTATTTTCCAAAATTTTTAAGCTAGATGATAAACTTTATACTCACAAAGCTTGAATTAGAGAAGTTATTTTTATTAAAATAATACTGTTTGGATAAGTTCCTTCATAATTCTAAAGTCTACAGTAAGATATTCAGCAGTAACAGTACAGTAATATATTTATGATTCTACCCAACTTGCACAAGCATAATTATCTGGGTGGAACAGGCTTTATGGCTAGCAAGCTATGATCTGTGAGTGCATGGGTCGAAAAGTTTCCCGATTCTGATGGTCATCTTCAAAGAAACTTAAACAAGAGTCGATCTGACAGTGAATACAAAAATACAACAAAATCAATTCATAAACACCGGTACGAAAACAAGGCTCTCTGTAACAACTACAGTGTTGGGGGGGAAGGGGGGGAATCCAGGGAACATAAAAGATAAAACACAATTAATTGCTGCCTGTGTTCCCCACTTTACGGTCTTAAACACCGGGTATTAGACACTCCTCTTTAGCGCTCTCTTAAACAGAAATTTGGTGTTTCCACTGCCCCTCCCCCACAGTTAACATCAGTGCCCTTTCTTCCTCCTCCCTTACCCCTCCCAGTTCAAACAAATTAACATTTGTACTAAGGTACCTCCTATCAGCTCGCAGCTTCTTCCCAAACACGCCCACGTACACTGAAACTGGCCTGCGTCTGCACAACACACAGCTACAGGAAAAGAGCTCCGAAGGGGGCAGGTGGGAGGATAATTTAGCTCCGCACCGGTTTACGGCTATTTTCCAAATATTAGCTCCTCACACTTGGCTCGGGTTTCTGCCAAATCACCTCCAAAGCACAGTGTTTATGAGCCGACCTCATCCGATTCTGCAATGGAATTCCGGATATTTGCAGACAGATATCCCGGCTTTGCAAGTGTTTGATCAGATCCGTCCGGAATCTCTCTTTTTCTCAGCACGCCCGGTCCTAGCCGTACAGCAACCGGACCTCGGGCCGCGCCCCCGGCCCCGCACCCCGCCGCGCGCCCGGCCCGAGGCCAGCTCAGGACCAGCCTCTCCCCGTCCCGGGCTGGCGGGCGACCCGAGCTGCGGGCCGCTCCGCAACAGGTCACCCTGACCGCGGGCGCGGGTTCGCGGGCGGCCGGCTCTGCTGCCGGCTTCTGGGGCGCAGCGCCAGGGCCAGGGGAGGGGGTGTGGCCCGACTCCGCGGTCCCCGCGCCGCGGTCCGGACTCCCGCTCACCTGAAGGGAGGCTGAGGCGCAGCCGGGCGCCAGGGCAGCGCGGGCCGAGGCCAGGGGCTTCCGCCACCCAAGAGGGAGAGCGAGGCGGCCTCACGGGGCCGCCGCGCCCCGGGCCTCGGCACAGAGACCGGGAGCGGGGACCGCACGGCCGCCTCCAGCCTCCGAGAGCGAGCCGCCGAGGGAGACGCGGCCCCGGGCCCCCAGCGCCCTCCTCCTTCAGCCCGAGCCCCGCAGCTCCCTCTCCGTGCCGAGGGCGATCAGCCCCGGGGCCCGCGGCCAGGAGCTCCACACCGCAGCCCCGGAGCCGCCGCCATTCCCCGCGCCGCCGCCGCTGCGGCTCCGCGCCGCCCGGGGGGCGCAGCGCACCCACCTTCCCTCCCCCGCACCGCCCGCCGAGGCTCGGCACCGGGCCCACGGCCAGTGCACCGACCTGTGCAGCTGCGGCCGTCGCCTCGAAGGATGGAAAGACGACGCCGGCTTCAGGCTTCGTCACCGTTGCCGCCGCCGCCTAGGCTAGCGCCCGGCGACCCGAGCAATCGGCGTCTCTCATTCAGCGCGCCGCCGCCGCCGCCGCTGCCGCCGCCGCTCGGGGGAGGGGAGTGAGCTGGATCCACCCCGTCCGCGCCGGGGGGTGGGGGAGGAGAGCGGACCTGGCGGGCGCGCGCAGGGAGGGCGGGGCGGAGCCGCGTGAGCGCGCGCACCAAACGAGCGCGCTTGCGCGTGCCCCCAGCGCCGCGACCGGCGGGGTCTTCGCCGCGCGCGCCGCGCCAGCCGTTCTTCTGCCCCACAAGCCCAACTGCCGCGGGGGGACTGGTGTCCGTGGCGCGCGCCGCTTGCCGCAGCCCCTCGGCCCCGCGTTCGCGGGAGGGAGGGGCCGCTGCCCGCCCAACGGAGGAGCGCGGAAGGGTTGGAGGGCCGACAGGTGGGGCACCCGCGGCAGCCGGCCACCGCCTCCCGGCACGGGGTCCACCGCGGTGAAATCCACCCTGGTGTCTGTCGCTGTCATCTTTAAGGGCGGGGAACAAAGTCTGGAAACACTTGACTCCCAGATGAAATATTCTGCCCGCGCCAGCGGTGGTTTTAGTTAAAATTAGTCGCGGCGGGCAAGTGAGAGGGCTCCAAATGTGAAGAGCCACCCCACTGCCATAGGACCATAAATTATGGTGATCAATACTCTCATAAAGATTCGGGAAGTGTTAGAAGTAGGCTGTAAGTGTTATGCAGAGGACTGCCCTTGACTTAACAAGCAAATGACAGAAATTTGGCATCCCGGGGTCTCTGATTGATGAGTTCCAGGTGAAAAGTATTTTCACGTCAATGCATGAACAAGATTCCGAATTACTAAATATTTTGTGTGAATGAAAAAAGAATAGATTCGGTATAAATGGTGGAAGAGTGTTGTTTCGGAGGGTGCACTGTATGGGGTGGCCTACTTAAAATTAGCACCATTTGATGCAGTGTGGCTATAAATGGAAGGTTTTAAGTGAGCCACCTTTATATACGCCGTCATTAGACCATTTGGAAATGATTATTTGATGATCTGCAGCTCTTCTTTAGGCAACGTGCCGCAGGCTGTGGAAGGAATACTGCGTACTAGCATTGGGTATAAAACATGAAAGGACCAAAATTGTTCCCATTTGGTTTCTTTCCTCCCTTTAATAACCACTAAGCAGAAATGATTAATCTTGTATATTGAAGAATGCTAATTATTTCCTTCTTTGATCGCCTGGTATCCTAGCCCTTTACTCTTAGGGAAGCTAGAATGTCTTCAACCCCTTCCCTCAAACAGGGTTATTTCTTTAAAGCCTTCCCTCCCCCTCTCCACACCCAAAGGTGAGTTGGCAAACAAAAACAGGGATAGACAAAGTTTATGGTTTTTCAATTTTATTGCATTTTGCTTTCAAAGAAAGTCTTGAAAGGAATCATAAAGAAATCACTGGGAGAAGTAGAGAAACCAAAAGAAGGAAAAAAAACAACTTTCAAATGAGAATAGACTTAGAAAAAAGAAAACAGAGTATTGGTTAAAAGGGGGGAAGTGTATTATGTATACAGGAAGTTTTCCCATAGATGCTAATTGCTTCAAGTCCCAAAGAAACGACAGGCAAACAGAATTAGCACATGGAGGAAAACCCCTGCTAGTTATCAAGTTAGGTAAATGTTTATTCTTTTTTAAGTGTTAATAAGAGATTAAGGGAAAGGTGGTTGGCTGTGTGCCAACAATAATACATACAACAATTACATATACACACACATATATATCCCATTTTAAGAAATAAATATTTAGAAATAAAACTGAGGAACAACAGGGAATTCTAGTATTAATGTCTTGCAATTACTTTAAACTTGAATTAGGGTTTCATAAAAACAAATGAGGCTGTGTTCCTACATCTACCAATAATTTTCACAGTTTACGGTAAGAGCAGTGAAGTTTTCATTTGGATTTTGAAGAGAAAAAAGCATGTGACTCATGAAGGTAGGTCAGGGATATTCTGAATTCTTATACGTACTGAATTTCTGAGTTTGGAATAATTACTCAAAATCTATTTCTCGCGTTGATAACCTCCAAAATAATAGTTTTATTAACCTTTAGAGTTGTGTTGAGTTCAAACTTATGAAATTGGTGAGATTAAGAATTTACGAATAAAAATACAGAAAAAAAGTTTATTCTCAACATCTTTTTTTTTTTTGTCATAGCTTGGGAATTATTTTAGAAAGCCCGTGTCCCTTCCCATTTATTGATATGCAAATGGAACAATGGCTTTTTATACTTAAACAGGACCACCAGCAAATTTTCTTTACCAGAGCATCTTTTATCACAGTTAAATTCTGTAAGTTGCTTTATGTATTCCATTTGCTTTTGCCAGGAGACAAGAAATATGCAAAGTCTTAGTATAACAAAAAGTACAAATGTATAAAAGAGAAATGCAATTATATAAAATAGAAATCAATGAGAATTCAATATGCTTAAAATTGTTTCAGAGGAATCACCATTATGTAACAGTTTTGTTACTATCCATTAAAATTATTTCCAAGGGGTAAGCGAAAAGAACTAATTTAGATACAGAACAAGCAGTTTCGGACCACAGCAAGAACCAAATCAACAAACAACTCCTCTCATTACTGCTGTCAAAATCAAACTGGCATAGTTAGAAACCTTATTATTTCAATAACACCTAATTCTATTACAACCAACAGAATTTCTGCAATCACATAGACATCTATTGTTTCTCTAACCATTAATCTCTTTTTTCAAATATATATATATATTGGCCGGACATTTTGAAAAAATTTATCAGTTACGTTTGCAATGTTCTGATTTAAAATCTAGGCAAAATAGCAGACCCAAAATTCACGCTGAGGGAAAGGATATATGGGAGGACTTTGAAGAGGTAGACACACATTCTCCAGAAATCTGACACCAAGGTACGAGGAGAGCCTGCCACCATTCCCAATCAAGTGAGACATGCCACAGATACCAAGAACAAAGATAATCAACAGTCCATTCAAATATGAGTACCAACTGTCAGGAGGCATAAGGCCTAATTTAAGATTGAGCTGTTTCTCACATGGGCAACTCTATGCAGGGAATGGGTCAGCAGGGAAGTATTTACTTAATGATGACTAATATTTCCCCAGAACAAGTCTTGGGGACCAGCTAGTACATAAATAAATGTTTGCATGAACTAATAATATTCAATATTAACTTTAAAGATGATTTCGGTAATGCCTCATTTATCTGACAGGACAAAGAAGGGGCAGTGAGGGATTGAACAAAATTAGATATTCTAGATAACAGAGGTTTTCATCTTAAAGCACTAGAAACAATTGAATTTAAACCACGTGTATTGATTTTTTTCCTGAAATATCACCAGTTTCTCTGCCTTAAACTAATAAAACATAGTATAGTTTAACCTATTCCTAATGACCCAGAGGTATTTTATACTCAAAAGCAATAATACCGAGATGTGTGTGGGAGCTTAGAAGTACTTGGTATCCTTCACCCTACAGTAAATAATTGTAGCCTACTATGTTCCTGAATTCCTTTGAGTCTAATTGATCTGGATGGTGCTCATTATTGACCTTCCTGATTGTTCTACAGCACTGCCTGCATACATATATTAACACACCTCCCATTGAATTGTCTTACCACGTTAGCCTAGGAAGCCAAACAATGAATATTTTTAACGTATGTATAAAGTAAGAGGAAAGAACCTCAGAATATACTGAAACTACTCCAATATGTGGGGGACATTTACTTAATAGAAAGGCCATTTGCCTACTTTCATGTTTTCCTCAATATTTTGGATATTTGGGTTTACCAGATAAGTGAATCATTATTGCATTCTACTTTCTTTCTATAAATTTTAGGCATTGTTCTCCATACTGAGGATCTTTGTTGATAATATTCGTCACAGTAGTTTCCTTATATATCCTGCATTCAAAATAAGGTTAGAATTAAAAGCCCCAGGAATTCATAAATCCATATCAGTAATAAATGGATCAAATGAGTGGAGAAGAGGAGGTTTACAGTGGAATATTGAATGCCAACAGGTAAGTGTAGAGGGAGTGCTGGAGTTGGACAATCACCGTTTTGCAACTATTGTGGCAAAGACTGGGTAACACAAAAACCATCAATGGATGTTAAATGTAAGGAGACATTTTGATGAGAAACAGGATATTTGCATCATCTCACAGTTCTTCCTATAGACTTCCTATTACTTGCAAGGAGGAAAAACACTAATTATACACTAGAGAAATTGGACAAAATCTTGACCAGGTAATCGAAATTAACATCATGAATGAGGGACAGATGCACATTGTTTGCCTTGAGATGTGATTCCCAGAGGACACAGCACCTAATGAGGAAATGAAGTTGAATGAGGAATCTGATAAAGAAATATCAGATTCCAAATGAAGAATATTCTAGATCTTGTTTTGTTTTTTAATGGGGGGTGGTGGCTGTATTCTTCAAAGATGTCAGTGCTACGAAAGACAAAGACTATGAACATATTCCAGCTAAAGAACCATGACAACTAAATGCAATATGAAATATTAGACTGGAACCTTTACTGGAGGGGAAAATAATTCTGTAAAGCACATTATTGGGTTAATTGGAAAACAGATGTAGATTGATTAGATAGAAGTATCAATGTTAAGATCACTGAAGTGGGTAACTGTACTATGGTTGTGTCTCTAAATGCTGTGGTATTTAGGAGTAAAGGACTAGGAGGTATGCATGGTTGAGAAATAGAGAGAGAGAGAGAGAGAGAAGAGAAAACAATAAAACAAGCAAAGCATTAACAATAGGTGATGTCAAGGGTGTTTAGGTGTTCCCTGAAAACGTCTATAAATTTAAAATTATTTCCAAATAAAAAGCTTTTTTTTTTATTTCAAAAAAGCAGCAGTAAAAGCAACCCATAGACTCTAACATTATAATTATTTTAAATGACCACCTTACTGCCAAATCCCACAGGCTTTATGACGCCTCCCCTGAAACTGTCTCATTTCATGGGTTCAAATTATAGAAACAATGCATTTTATAATTGAAGAGTCATCTAACTTTTTATTTTATGAATGAGGAAATTGAATCTCAGAGATTCAAGATTTACCTGAAATCCCTTAACCAGTTAGTGGGATGGCACAATCTTGATTCTACTTCTTTCTATAGCTGCTAACCTGCTACTCTGGAGTTTCAGTCATTTTCCCTCATTCCCCTTTCTCACTCTGAGTTTCCTATGGGCCTATATTCTCTCCTATCTATG